ACACAACACACAGGCAGTTACGTCAGACTTTAGCACCAGACGCAACACGCCTTTTACTATATTGTCAGAAGCATCGTCAGATCTCGGTAGCAGCCCATTTCATTTCTCTCTTTCAATGCTCTGGAAACCAAGCAGAAAATGCTGTGGGCTAAAGATTGCATCATAGCCACACAAATACATTAGAAGATGATTGTCGATCTGATCAGGAACGCTGTGCTCACGACCTTTATCTCCTAAATGATGTCCATGGTGCATTTAGTTAGAATTTTGGAATATATTGGGGCAATAAGCTATAAGGTTTTAACCAGGCACGAGTCCATCCAGGCTTGAGTCCCATGCGCAAAACACACATAACAAGTTAGAGAAATGTATGCTGAAGCAAAGTTTCACCTACATTTTAGATAAGACAATATCCTCCTACATCATGTCAAGCATCCATCCATCCAAATCAAATACTTCAATGTGTTCGCCTTTTGTCTTTATAAACTTTCACACAGACTACTACACGACATGGGTAATCCAATCAGCAACACTGCAGCTGTTGATTGCAGTGATCGTCGTTCATAAACGCATGCTATATTTAATCAATACACGACATTCAAGGAGTAGGGACTTTTGATGCAGAAATAGGCTAGAAAATACCGTGTTAATTCTATTAAATTAGCCTACATAATCTTGCTCGCTTGAGGAAGCCAGTTTGGGGTGATAAAAGTGTATTTGATCTACCCCTGAAAACTTGGACAGTGAGCGTGAATCGCATTTCCATAGATGCATGTATCAGTACCCAGACTATAAATGATATATTAATTTACAAGGATATGTTAGCTGTCAGCTGGCTACAGTAGGAAAGTAACAATCTAATGAAAGATTTGTTACATAAATTAGTATTTTATCCCATATGTGTCATCCTATGAAGTGGACGTTATGTTAACGGTTGACCTATTTCAGTATGTCGTTCTTAACTGTTAACTGTTGACCTATTTCAGTATGTTCGTTCTTGAACTGTTACTGTTGACTCTTTCAGTATGTCGTTCCTTACTGTTAACTGTACCTATTTCAGTATGTCGTTCTTAAAACTGTTAACGGTTTGAACCTATTTATCAGTATGTCGTTCTTAACTGTTTAACGGTTGAACGCTATTTCAGTATGTTCGTTCCTTAACTGTTAACTGTGACTATTGTCATAGGGCATTCTAACTGTTAACTGTTGACCTATTTCAGTACTGTTCGTTCTTAACTGTTAACTGTTGACGCTATTTCAGTATGTTCGTTCTTAACTGTTAACTGTTGACCATTTCAGTATGGTCTTTGTTCTTAACTGTTACGTTGACCTATTCAGTATGTCGTTCTTAACGTTAACTGTTGACCTATTTCAGTATGTCGTTCTTAACTGTTAACTGTTGACCTATTTCAGTATGTCATTCTTAACTGTTAACTGTTGACCTATTTCAGTATGTCATTCTTAACTGTTAACTGTTGACATTCATATGTATTTAACTGTTAACTTTACCTATTTCAGTATGTCATTCTTAACTGTTAACTGTTGACCTATTTCATTATATCATTCTAACTGTTAACTGTTGACCTATTTCAGTATGTCATTCTTAACTGTTAACTGTTGACCTATTTCAGTATGTCATTCTAACTGTTTGACCTATTTCATTATGTCATTCTAACTGTTAACTGTTGACCTATTTCAGTATGTCATTCTTAACTGTTAACTGTTGACCTATTTCAGTATGTCATTCTTAACTGTTAACTGTTGACCTATTTCAGTATGTCATTCTAACTGTTAACTGTTGACCTATTTCAGTATGTCATTCTTAACTGTTAACTGTTGACCTATTTCAGTATGTCATTCTTACTGTTAACTGTTGACCTATTTCAGTATGTCATTCTTAACTGTTAACTGTTGACCTATTTCAGTATGTCATTCTTAACTGTTAACTGTTGACCTATTTCAGTATGTCATTCTTAACTGTTAACTGTTGACCTATTTCAGTATGTCATTCTTAACTGTTAACTGTTGACCTATTTCAGTATGTCATTCTTAACTGTTAACTGTTGACCTATTTCAGTATGTCATTCTTAACTGTTAACTGTTGACCTATTTCAGTATGTCATTCTTAACTGTTAACTGTTGACCTATTTCAGTATGTCATTCTTAACTGTTAACTGTTGACCTATTTCAGTATGTCATTCTTAACTGTTAACTGTTGACCTATTTCAGTATGTCATTCTTAACTGTTAACTGTTGACCTATTTCAGTATGTCATTCTTAACTGTTAACTGTTGACCTATTTCAGTATGTCATTCTTAACTGTTAACTGTTGACCTATTTCAGTATGTCATTCTTAACTGTTAACTGTTGACCTATTTCAGTATGTCATTCTTAACTGTTAACTGTTGACCTATTTCAGTATGTCATTCTTAACTGTTAACTGTTGACCTATTTCAGTATGTCATTCTTAACTGTTAACTGTTGACCTATTTCAGTATGTCGTTCTTAACTGTAACTGTTGACCTATTTCAGTATGTCATTCTTAACTGTTAACTGTTGACCTATTTCAGTATGTCATTCTTAACTGTTAACTGTTGACCTATTTCAGTATGTCATTCTTAACTGTTAACTGTTGACCTATTTCAGTATGTCATTCTTAACTGTTAACTGTTGACCTATTTCAGTATGTCATTCTTACAACTGTTGACCTATTTCATTATGTCATTCTTAACTGTTAACTGTTGACCTATTTCAGTATGTCATTCTTAACTGTTAACTGTTGACCTATTTCAGTATGTCATTCTTAACTGTTAACTGTTGACCTATTTCAGTATGTCATTCTTAACTGTTAACTGTTGACCTATTTCAGTATGTCATTCTTAACTGTTAACTGTTGACCTATTTCAGTATGTCGTTCTTAACTGTTAACTGTTGACCTATTTCAGTATGTCATTCTTAACTGTTAACTGTTGACCTATTTCAGTATGTCATTCTTAACTGTTAACTGTTGACCTATTTCAGTATGTCATTCTTAACTGTTGACCTATTTCATTATGTCATTCTTAACTGTTAACTGTTGACCTATTTCATATGTCATTCTTAACTGTTAACTGTTGACCTATTTCAGTATGTCATTCTTAACTGTTAACTGTTGACCTATTTCAGTATGTCATTCTTAACTGTTAACTGTTGACCTATTTCAGTATGTCATTCTTAACTGTTAACTGTTGACCTATTTCAGTATGTCGTTCTTAACTGTTAACTGTTGACCTATTTCAGTATGTTCATTCTTAACTGTTAACTGTTGACCTATTTCAGTATGTCATTCTTAACTGTTAACTGTTGACCTATTTCAGTATGTCATTCTTAACTGTTAACTGTTGACCTATTTCAGTATGTCATTCTTAACTGTTAAACTGTTGACCTATTTCAGTATGTCGTTCTTAACTGTTAACTGTTGACCTATTTCAGTATGTCATTCTTAACTGTTAACTGTTGACCTATTTCAGTATGTCATTCTTAACTGTTAACTGTTGACCTATTTCAGTATGTCATTCTTAACTGTTAACTGTTGACCTATTTCAGTATGTCATTCTTAACTGTTGACCTATTTCATTATGTCATTCTTAACTGTTAACTGTTGACCTATTTCAGTATGTCATTCTTAACTGTTAACTGTTGACCTATTTCAGTATGTCATTCTTAACTGTTAACTGTTGACCTATTTCAGTATGTCATTCTTAACTGTTAACTGTTGACCTATTTCAGTATGCCATTCTTAACTGTTAACTGTTGACCTATTTCAGTATGTCGTTCTTAACTGTTAACTGTTGACCTATTTCAGTATGTCATTCTTAACTGTTAACTGTTGACCTATTTCAGTATGTCATTCTTAACTGTTAACTGTTGACCTATTTCAGTATGTCATTCTTAACTGTTGACCTATTTCATTATGTCATTCTTAACTGTTAACTGTTGACCTATTTCATATGTCATTCTTAACTGTTAACTGTTGACCTATTTCAGTATGTCATTCTTAACTGTTAACTGTTGACCTATTTCAGTATGTCATTCTTAACTGTTAACTGTTGACCTATTTCAGTATGTCATTCTTAACTGTTAACTGTTGACCTATTTCAGTATGTCGTTCTTAACTGTTAACTGTTGACCTATTTCAGTATGTCATTCTTAACTGTTAACTGTTGACCTATTTCAGTATGTCATTCTTAACTGTTAACTGTTGACCTATTTCAGTATGTCATTCTTAACTGTTAACTGTTGACCTATTTCAGTATGTCATTCTTAACTGTTAACTGTTGACCTATTTCAGTATGTCATTCTTAACTGTTAACTGTTGACCTATTTCAGTATGTCATTCTTAACTGTTAACTGTTGACCTATTTCAGTATGTCATTCTTAACTGTTAACTGTTGACCTATTTCATTATGTCGTTCTTAACTGTTAAAAGTGGCAGGTTTTACAACTGTTCCTGGAAGGGGCCATTTTCATTGAAATAGACTATCTTCGGTGTAGAATGTTGTTTTTTTTTCATAACAAGTTACAAGTTTACATAAAAAAAGTTCAAGCTATTCAGGTATTCTGACACACACCACACTACACTGTAATTATATCGATACAGCTGTATATCATATGTGATTTCACATTTTACAGGTCACTTCACCCCATTCACATTCCAAGTAATGATCTGATGGCTGTGGCTTGATACAATGATAAACGAACAAACATGAAATAAGTTCCTCAATATGTTTTTATTGAGTAGTGTAAGGGACAGTCCTCTGTTAATATATACTTGTATACTTATAATACTTGTACGTATACTTGTCCCAAAGCACACAATCACACACACACATCACATCACACAGGGACAACACATCACATCACACAGAGACAACACACAGAGACAACACATCACATCACACAGAGACAACACATCACATCACACAGAGACAACACATGTTGTTACAATAATGTTTTATCAGGATTGAGAAACACTGCCCTAGTGTGTGGTCATGTGTCCCTTGTCGTGTGTGTGTGTGTGTCTCCCTGTGTATCTCCCTGTGTATCTCCCTGTGTATCTCCCTGTGTATCTCCCTGTGTATCTCCCTGTGTATCTCCCTGTGTATCTCCCTGTGTATCTCCCTGTGTATCTCCCTGTGTATCTCCCTGTGTATCTCCCTGTGTGTCTCCCTGTGTATCTCCCTGTGTATCTCCCTGTGTATCTCCCTGTGTATCTCCCTGTGTATCTCCCTGTGTATCTCCCTGTGTATCTCCCTGTGTGTCTCCCTGTGTATCTCCCTGTGTATCTCCCTGTGTATCTCCCTGTGTATCTCCCTGTGTATCTCCCTGTGTATCTCCCTGTGTATCTCCCTGTGTATCTCTCTGTGTGTCTACCGCGAGGCGAAGTAGGGCCTGATCTTCATGCAGATGGCTTTGAGAGAGTACCAGGATCCCTTCCAGTTCATCCACACCATCCCGTCATCCGTCCCGTGTTTTGCCATGTACCGTGTGTAAGCCCCGCCCCAGTAGTAACGGCCGTTGGGATTGGCTGAGTGACACCTGTTGTACCACCAGCCACCGCCGTCTTCACGGGAGCACTGCTTGGACGGGTCACCTGGAGTCCTGTTAGAGGGGAGGGGGAGGAGGTGATGGAGAGGGGAGAGGGGAGAGGGGATGGGGGAGGGAGGAGGGTTGAGGAGGAGGGGAGAGGGGGGAGATGGGATTGGAGAGTGGAAAGGGGGGAGATAGGAGTGGAGAGGGGGGAGATGGGAGTGGAGGGAGATGGGAGTGGAGAGGGGGAGATGAGAGTGGAGAGGGGTGGTTGATGGGAGTTGGAGAGTGGGAGATGGCCTGGCGATGGGGGGTCATGCGCGTGGAGCGTGGCGAGGGGGGAGCTGAGAGTTGGGTGCGGAGGGTTGGCGTGGGGGCCTGGGCGAGTGGGGAGGGGGTGAGGGAGAGGGGAGGGGGTGAAGGAGACAGACACAGAGAGAGATGTTTTGATTGACTGAACAACAATCCCTAAACCAAATGTAATTCTTGGAGGGCTGTGTGTCTGTGGGTTTTCACTCCTCCCTTGTACTTGATTGATCAACTAAGATCACTGATTAGTTAGGACCTCCCTCACCTGGTTGTCTAGGTCTTAATTGATTAGTTAGGACCTCCCTCACCTGGTTGTCTAGGTCTTAATTGATTATTTAGGACCTCCCCTCACCTGGTTGTCTAGGTCTTAATTGATTAGTTAGGACCTCCCCTCACCTGGTTGTCTAGGTCTTAATTGATTAGTTAGGACCTCCCCTCACCTGGTTGTCTAGGTCTTAATTGGACACAAATGTAAAGAAAATAACTAAAACCAGCAGACACACGACCTTCTGGGAATTGGGTTTAACAGCCCTCCCATACCAGTTATCGTTGTCCCTGTCGTAGGTGCTGAACATCATTCCATTGTGGATGGTCATGGTCCGGTTCTCTCCATACAGCCCCGTAGCTCCCTCCAGCATCACGTTACCGGCCGTACCAGAGTACCCATTGATCGCCATTACGTAGTTTGACGTCTCGCCCTGCAATACCATCAATCAATCAATCAATTAATCAGGATTTTAATTAGCATTATTCACATCATCTTCTGTGCAAAGTGCTTTCCCAGTAACCCAACCCCAGAGTTTGGAGTTCTAGAACGCCATGCGGCTGTTTCTATTGGCCGTGTTACCTGTATGGTAAACTGTTTGTACTGGGCGTGGACCTTGTTTCCGGACCAATCCTCCATCTCCATGAGGACCTCAGTGGGACCCTGCTTGGTCAGCTGACTGATGCGGTCATTACCCAGCCAGTACTCCCCTGTCACGTGACACAGGACAAACACACGGTCGGTGACATCATGACTTTAAGTTTATTATTGAGAAAAAGTGGAGTTGGAGTTTACCTCCTGAATATATAGATTCAATTGTCTGTAGTATGTTTCCATATATTTCCATTTTAGTATATTCATATCCTATTTTTCATGGTTTGTTTTCTCTCACCTGGAGTGTTGCAGTGTCCCTTCCCGACGTCGAAGGCGATATTCCCGAAACCGCTGCGGTAGTTGTCCCAACGTCGGCCGAAGTCTACAGAACCATCCTTCCTGTTCTGAATAGTGGTCCAGCCTGAGAGAGAGAGAGGAGAGAGAGAGAGAGAGAGAGAGAGAGAAGAGAGAGAGAGAGAGAGAGAGAGAGAGAGAGAGAGAGAGAGAAGAGAGAGAGAAGAGAGAGAGAGAGAGAGAGAAAAGAGAGAGAGAGAGAGAGAGAGAGAGATAGAGAGGAGAGAAGAGAGAGCGAGCGAGAGAGAAGAGAGGAATAAATGGATAGAAAATTTGATGGCGTTAAACGATCTCCCTCCCTTCTCCAAAAGCGTGCACGTTTACACTCCCCCCTCATACATTTGAAAAGCAATAGATATATAGAAGCAGGGCTGGAGTGAGTGAGAGAGAAACAGACAACCACCCCACCTCCGTTCTGCGTGGTCTGGTCACAGTAGACCTTGTAGGGCGGGTAGAAGGAGTCAGGCTGGACCAGATACATCCCAGAATCCCTTCCTCCTTTCCTGAAGATGTCCTCACACTCCTTACCTGGAGGGAGGGGGGAGGGAGGGAGGACAGACAAGTTTAGTCTTATGTCACGGGGTGGGATCTGAAGCCCGGTCTCCCGCCTGGGAAATCAACGTCTTAACCATTAGGCTAAGAGGAAATTCCCTATTGGGCCAAGGGTGACAGTGATTTTGAAGTGACAGGCAGTGCCACCTCATCACGAGTCAGACTGACCTCCGCTACATTTCCACACACAGAACCAACCGCCAACAGTCTGCATCCTCACCAGAGACAACAGGTATGGGGCAGGAGACGGTGCATGGCTCCTTGCATTCCTCTCTCTGGGCCAGGATCGCCTTCTCCACTCTCTGAATCTTCAACCTGATCTTCTCAAGGACCCCTTGAAGAATCCTGATGGAAGAAGAAGAAGAAGACTTTGTTATGCCACTAATGAATGAACCCCTTTGTTAAATACAGACGCTAACGCTAAGGAAGTGTTTCAGCTGTGACCAGAGGATCTCTATGGCAGTGAGTAGATGCTAATGCTAAGGAAGTGTTTTTCAGCGATGACTTGAAGATGCTAATAGCTGTACGTAGCCCCTCCGATATACGCACGCACGCACGCACACGTCTTGTGCTGCTAACCTTATGGGGACATACAATTCAGTCCCATTCAAAATCCTATTTTCCCTAACCTCAAACCTAACCCGTACCTTTACTCTAACTAACATTAACCCAAAAACCTAACCTTAACCCTAATCCTAAACCTAACCCTATCTCCTAAACCTAACCCTAAACCTAATTCTAACCCTAACACTAATTCTAACCTTGACCCTAAATCCCCTAGAAATAGCATTTGACCTTATGGGGACCAACAAAATGTCCACAGTTGGTCAACATTTTCTTGGTTTACTATTCTTGTGGGGACTTCTGGTCCCCACAAGTATAGTTAAACACACACACACACACACACACACACACACACACACACACACACACACACACACACACACACACACACACACACACACACACACACACACACACACACACACACACACACACACACACACACACACACACACACACACACACACACCTAATGTTAGAGGGGAAGACGGTGTCTATAGCCTCCTTTGCAAAGGCATGCTGGGTCTCCAGATCGTCCGTGTACTGACTCACCAGGTCACCATTCTCTGTAGAGAAAGAAAGGGCGAGGGAGAGCGGGGGGGAGAGGTATGGGGTACGGGGAGAGGGACGGGGAGAGGTATGGGGTACGGGGAGAGGTGACGAGGAGAGGTATGGGGTACGGGGAGAGGGACGGGAAGAGGTATGGGGTACGGGGAGAGGGGGATGGGGAGAGGTATGGGGTACGGGGAGAGGGATGGGGAGAGGTATGGGGTACGGGGAGAGAGGGACAGGGAGAGGTATGGGGGTACGGGGAGAGGGATGGGGGAGGAGGTATGGGGTACGGGGGGAGAGAGGGACAGGAGAGGTTGGGGGACGGGGAGAGGGGGACAGGGAGAGGTATGGGGTATCGGGGAAGGAGGGAAGGGAGGAAGTGTATGGGGTACGGGGAGAGAGAAGGGACAGGGAGAGGTATGGGGTACGGGAGAGAGGGGGACAGGGAGAGGTATGGGGGTACGGGGAGAGAGGGATGGGGAGAGGTATGGGGTACGGGGAGAGGGGACAGGGAGAGGTATGGGGTACGGAGAGAGGGATGGGGAGAGAGGTATGGGGTACGGGGAGGGGATGGGGAGAGGTATGGGGTACGGGGAGAGGGGGATGGGGAGACGGTATGGGGTACGGGGAGAGAGGGACAGGGAGAGGTATGGGGTACGGGGAGAGGGGATGGGGAGAGGTATGGGGTACGGGGAGAGAGGGACAGGGAGAGGTATGGGGTACGGGGAGAGAGGGAGGGGGAGAGGTATGGGGTACGGGGAGAGAGGGACAGGGAGAGGTATGGGGTACGGGGAGAGGAGGGACGGGGAGAGTAGGGGTTACGGGGAGAGAGGGATGGGGAGAGGTATGGGGTACTGGGGGGAGGAGGAGAGGGACAGGGAGAGGTATGGGGTACGGGGAGAGGGAGGGGAGAGGATGGGGTACGGGAGAGGGATGGAGAGGTATGGGGTACGGGGAGGAGAGGGAAAGGGGAGAGGTATGGGGGTAACGGGGAGAGGGAGGGGGGAGAGGTATGGGGTACGGGGAGAGGGATGGGGAGAGGGGTATGGGGGTACGGGGAGAGAGGGACAGGGAGGAGGTATGGGGTACGGGGGAGAGGGGGACAGGGAGAGGTATGGGGTACGGGGAGGGAGAGGGACAGGGAGAGGTATGGGGTACGGGGAGAGGAGGGACAGGGAGAGGTATGGGGACGGGGAGAGGGGGGACAGGGAGAGGTATGGGGTACGGGGAGAGGGATGGGGAGAGGTATGGGGTACGGGGAGAGGGGGACAGGGAGAGGTATGGGGTACGGGGAGAGGGATGGGGAGAGGTATGGGGTACGGGGAGAGGGGATGGGGAGAGGTATGGGGTACGGGGACGAGAGGGACACGGGAGAGGTAGGGGGTACGGGGGAGAGGAGGGGAGAGGTATGGGGTAAGGGGAGAGGGATGGGGAGAGTATGGGGTACGGGGGAGGGGGACAGGGAGAGGTTGGGGTAAGGGGAGAGAGGGAAGGGAGAGGAGTAGGGGTACGGGGAAGGGGATGGGGACAGGGAGAGGTAGGGGGTAGGGGAGGAGAGAGAGGGAAGGGAGAGGTATGGGGTACGGGGAGAGGGACGGGAAGAGGTATGGGGTACGGGGAGAGGGGGACAGGGAGAGGTATGGGGTACGGGGAGAGAGGGATGGGGAGAGGTATGGGGTACGGGGGAGGAGGGACGGGAAGAGGTATGGGGTACGGGGAGGAGAGGGATGGGGAGAGGTATGGGTACGGGGAGAGAAGGGGACAGGGAGAGGTATGGGGTACGGGGAGAGGGAGGGGAGAGGTATGGGGGGACGGGGAGAGAGGGACAGGGAGAGGTATGGGGTACGGGGAGAGGGACGGGGAGAGGTATGGGGTACGGGGAGAGGGACAGGAGGGAGAGGTATGGGGTACGGGGAGAGAGGGACAGGAGAGGTATGGGGTACGGGGAGAGAGGGATGGGGAGAGGTATGGGGTACGGGGAAGAGGGACAGGGAGAGGTTATGGGGTACGGGGAGGGAGGGATGGGAAGAGGTATGGGGTAGGGGAGAGGGGGAGGGATGGGGAGAGGTATGGGGTAACGGGGAGAGGGGGATGGGGAGAGGTATGGGTACGGGGAGGGGGGAGGGACAGGGAGAGGTATGGGGTACGGGGAGAGAGGGGACAGGGAGAGGTATGGGGTACGGGGGAGAGAGAGGGACAGGGAGAGGGTATGGGGTACGGGGAAGAGGGATGGGGAGAGGTATGGGGTACGGGGAGAGGGGGGATGGGGAGGAGGTATGGGTACGGGGAGAGGGGGATGGGGAGAGGTATGGGGTACGGGGAGAGGGGGTGGGGAGAGGTAGGGGTACGGGGAGGAGAGGGGGACAGGGAGAGGTATGGGGTACGGGGAGAGAGGGAGGGAAGAGGTATGGGGTAGGGGAGAGGGGGGACAGGGAGAGGTATGGGGACGGGGAGAGAGGGAGGGGAGAGGTTATGGGGTAAGGGGAGAGAGGGATGGGGAGAGGTATGGGGTACGGGGAGAGAGGGACAGGGAGAGGTATGGGGTACGGGGAGAGGGGGACAGGGAGAGGTATGGGGTATGGGGAGAGGGATGGGGCGAGGAGGTATGGGGTACGGGGAGAGGGACAGGGAGAGGTATGGGGTACGGGGAGAGGGAAGGGAGAGGTATGGGGTACGGGAGAGGTATGGGGTACGGGGAGAGAGGGACAGGGAGAGGTATGGCGGTACGGGGAGAGAGGGATGGGGAGAGGTATGGGGTAGGGGAGAGGGACGGGGGAGAGGTATGGGGTACGGGGAGAGAGGGACGGGGGAGAGGTAGTGGGTACGGGGGAGAGAGAGGGAAGGGAGAGGTATGGGGTTTATGGGGAGACGGGATGGGGAGAGGTATGGGGGTACGGGGGAGAGAGGGACAGGGAGAGGTAGGGGGTACGGGGAGAGAGGGATGGGGGAGGTATGGGGTACGGGCGAGAGAGGGATGGGGAGAGTATGGGGTACGGGGAGAGAGGGACAGGGAGAGAGTGGGGTACGGGGAGAGGGGGATGGGGAGAGGTATGGGGTACGGGTGAGAGAGGGGGACAGGGAGAGTATGGGGTACGGGGAGGAGAGGGATGGGGAGGAGGTATGGGGTACGGGGAGAGGGGGGACAGGGAGAGGTATGGGGTACGGGGAGAGGGACGGGGAGAGGTATGGGGTACGGGGAAGAGAGGGATGGGGAGAGGTATGGGGTACGGGGAGAGGGGGGACAGGGAGAGGTATGGGGTACGGGGAGAGGGGGGACAGGGAGAGGTATGAGGTACGGGGAGAGAGGGACAGGGAGAGGTATGGGGTACGGGGAGAGAGGGACAGGGAGAGGTATGGGGTACGGGGAGAGAGAGAGGGATGGGGAGAGGTATGGGGTACGGGGGAGAGGGACAGGGAGAGGTATGGGGTACGGGGAGGGAGGGATGGGGAGAGGTATGGGGTACGGGGAGAGGGACGGGGAGAGGTATGGGGTACGGGGAGAGGGATGGGGAGAGTATGGGGGTACGGGGAGAGGGACGGGGAGAGGTATGGGGGTACGGGGAGAGAGGGATGGGGAGAGGTATGGGGTACGGGGAGAGGGGATGGGGAGAGGTATGGGGTACGGGGAGAGGGATGGGGAGAGGTATGGGGTACGGGGAGAGAGGGGACAGGGGAGAGGTATGGGGTACGGGGAGAGAGGGATGGGGAGAGGTATGGGGTACGGGGAGAGGGGGATGGGGAGAGGTATGGGGTACGGGGAGAGGGACGGGGAGAGGAGAGGGATGGGGAGAGGTATGGGGTACGGGGGAGAGGGGGATGGGGAGAGGTATGGGGTACGGGGAGAGGGACGGGGAGATGGAGAAAGAGAGGGGAGAGAGGGATGGGGAGATGGAGAAAGAGAGGGGAGAGAGGAGGGGTAAGTGACACCTCTCTCACTATTGTTTTACCTCTCCAAGTAGCATGCTTAGTATGCTCGGCTAATATATGACATCCCTGTATAAGGTATAGGGAAGTCTACATGTTAAGTTATTGGACAGAGCCGAGTATAGACTTGGGGTCTGACCATTTCTGAGACACATAATACGTTTGGATGTTGGGACACTGTCCACTGTGTGAATGTTGGGACACTGTCCACTGTGTGAATGTTGGGACACTGTCCACTGTGTGGATGTTGGGACACTGTCCACTGTGTGAATGTTGGGACACTGTCCACTGTGTGGATGTTGGGACACTGTCCACTGCCTTATTGTAAATTTTTACTTGTCTTGGGTCATTGTATGTAAATGACATATCTAGCTAGGCCTTACCGTTGCTGACTAGCTGTCTCTCTCTCAGCGCTGTGGACATGCCGTCTACGTAGGTATAGACGTTGTTAGAAGATCTCGACAGGTCGTCAACATCTTTCTGCATTTTCCTCACTTCCTCTTTCACGTTCCTCTCTTGTTTCAGCATGGCTGTCTTCAGCTCACAGCCCGTAGGACACAGCACCCCCTATAGAGCCGGAGGAGGACACACACACTGAATAATGTAGATGCTAATGCTAAGGAAGTGTTACCGCTGTGACCATAGGATCTTTATAGCAGAGATGGTAGATGCTAATGCTAAGGAAGAGTTACCGCTGTGACCATAGGATCTTTATAGCAGAGATGGTAGATGCTAATGTTAAGGAAGTGTTTCCGGTGTGACCATAGGATCTCTATAGCAGTGATGGTAGATGCTAATGCTAAGGAAGTGTTACCGCTGTGACCATAGGATCTCTATAGCAGTGACGGTAGATGCTAATGCTAAGGAAGTGTTACCGCTGTGACCATAGGATCTCTATAGCAGTGACGGTAGATGCTAATGCTAAATATATAGGATCTCTATGGCAGTGATGGTAGATGCTAACGCTAAAGATGTGTTCAGCCCATAAAACACAACACCCCCTATAGAGCCTAAGGAGGAGGACATGGTTAACTACACTTTATGAAGAGGCTGGATTCATATAATTGATGTGATCAATGTCATTTATTTGATATCGTCTGTTTATGTTTATATATTGTTTGAAATAAATAAATAAAATATCGTTTGATTTGGTATTGATGAATGATAGAATGATGCATTAGACACACGTACAAACACACACATGATGGAACGGTCTCCAACCATATATCCTAGACACCCACCTGAGCGACCCATGCACCAAAGAGAAGTCCCCATCTGTTTTATAGCACTGCTGTAAGTTGCCTGTACGCAGCCAAAACAGAAAGATAAATGCGGTCAGAGACCTACTAGAGCAGCACCGCCCCCTCAAGATTCTGAGCCTGCCTGGCAGGGTTGGTCCAACAAAGCCAGAGCCCCCTGATGGGAGAGCATAATATACAAGGAAATTCTCAAAGCTGCTGATGAGAACCTTGACGACCTTGTACCTAGCCGGTGGGGATTCCGGTGGGGTACCCCCACCCAGGTAGTGGCAGTGCTGGCAAAACTGGTTGCAGTAACACATGGGGAGTGGGTCACACTCAGATAATCAGAGAGGGGGCATATTATCGTGGCCCTGGTGGCAAAAAATAATCAAAGGTCTGACTGCTCGGAGATGCTTGGGAAAAAATGGTTACAACGGGGGACCAGAGCGTTTGTGTTTCCTCTGTAGCTCAGCTGGTAGAGCACAGCACTTGTAACGCCAAGGTAGTGGGTTCGATCCCCGGGACCACCCATACACAAAAAATGTATGCACGCATGACTGTAAGTCGCTTTGGATAAAAGCGTCTGCTAAATGGCATATTATTTATTTATTATTATTATTATTTATTATTATTGTTTCAGGAGAAGAGCGTGGATCTGATCTCCATATTTTTGGTCAATTTTTGCTCAATCTTGCATGCTTTCTCAAACAGCTGTAACTGTATATGCATTTGTAATTCAGGTCGTTTCTTGAGTTGGGCTCTGGGATGTAAGAGGGACACCAGCCCGTCTGGTGTTCAACCTTCCCAAGTTCTCTCACGTCACCCCGCTCCTCCGCACACTCCACTGGCGTCCAGTTGAAGCTCGCATCTGCTACAAGACCATGGTGCTTGCCTACGGAGCTGTGAGGGGAACGGCACCTCCGTACCTTCAGGCTCTGATCAGTCCCTACACCCAAACGAGGGCATTGCGTTCATCCACCTCTGGCCTGCTGGCTCCCCTACCTCTGCTGAAGCACAGTTCCCGCTCAGCCCAGTCAAAACTGTTCGCTGCTCTGGCACCCCAATGGTGGAACAAGCTCCCTCACGACGCCAGGACAGCGGAGTCACTCACCACCTTCCGGAGACATTTGAAACCCTACCTCTTTAAGGTATACCTGGGATAGGATAAAGTAATCCTTCTACCCCCCCTTACCCCACCCCAAAGAAAAAAAAAAAAAAAAAAAAAAAGTTGTAAAGTGGTTGTCCCACTGGCTATAAGGTGAATGCACCAATTTGTAAGTCGCTCTGGATAAGAGCGTCTGCTAAATGACGTAAATGTAAATGTAAATGTAACAACCGTTGAGCATCTGAGCTTATGGTTGATTGTGGAGGAAAGGTGTTGAGTGTGTTAGAGTATGTGCATGTGTGTTTATCCCACATCTGTTGCAAGGGGGTAAGGATGTTAGGGAGAATATAGGATGAACCACAATCATTGTTTGCTAAAATAATAATTGCTTGACAAAAATGTAATGCAATACAATGGCAATCCGGGTTATAGGTAACAATCCTTCGCATGAACTGCCAACCTTATTACACATACATGTATTAATTGATAATGATGGAAATTAAGATATGCAAAATATTTGAATAGATATATATTTTTAATAGCTATATAAATATATTGAGGTGAGAGCATTGGAAGCGCTTTTGGTGATTGACCTGCTTCTGTTTTAAGGGTGGCACTGTGTGTGTTACGGTCCGGCTCTGTTGGTCCTGTTCCTGTTGGTGTTCCTTTCCCTTTTCTCCCCTGTGTGTGTTGTTTGTGTCTGTCTCCCCCTGCTGTGCAGTCAGAGGTTCTAGGTCAGCGGGCGTGGCTATTCTATCACCAGAGCAGTTACATCAAGCTGCAGCTCATTGGCACCAATCAAGCAGCAGATATCTACCCGGGCTGGACACCTCTCCAGCGCCAGTTCGTTCCTACACTTCCAGTGGTAACTTGGCCCGTACAGCACTCTCAGTGTAGTTGTACTCTCTCAGTATTATTGTTGTTCCTGCCACGTTTTGTAACCTGTCTCTCCTTCGACCAGATCTCGTCTGTTCCTGCTGCCTGCTTGCCTGCCTGCCTGCCTGCCATTCCCACGCCGCTACCTGCTCCTCTGTTGCCTGATATCCTCGTTATCCAGCTCTCAGGACTACTGGCTCTCCACTCCACTCAGCTCCTACCCCAGCCTGAAGCTATTCCACCCTGACTACTTACCTCTGCCAATACACGTTGAATAAACCACATCCTAATTTTACTCTCTTTGTCCGTGTGTCCGTCTCTGCACCTGAGTCCCCCACCCAACCTAACAGTGTGCTGTTTTCAAAGGATGGGTCCTGGCCTCTCGGGGGCCTAGGGATCCGGGGAGACAGGGGGTGGTATGCTGATCACTGGGATGACGGCCCAACTTGGGAATGGGGATAAATAGATTTGAAACTTGTATCTCATTATGGTGTATGGTGAAATAAGTATAGCCAGTTATAATTGTAATGGTTTAGCAGATAATAATAAAAGAAGAACAATATTTACATGGCTCCAAGAGAAGGAATATAATATCCATTGTTTACAGGAAACTCATTCAACAATTCTAGATGAAGTTGTGTGGAAAAAGGAATGGGGGGGGGGGCGAAATATACTTCTCCCATGGGCAAAGAAACTCAAAAGGGGTGATGATATTAATTAACAGTAATTTCGATCCGAATGTGCAAATTGTCCAAACAGATCCGCAAGGTAGATGGATGATTTTAGATATGTTATTGGACCATAAACAAATTTAAAACCATAAACCGAAAAGAATTTACTGAAACTGGTTACAAATAACGGAGTCACCCATGATTCATGGGCGGCAGGTAGCTTAGTGGGTAAGAGCGTTGTGCCAGTAACCGAAAGGTCGCTGGTTCTAATCCCAGAGCCGACTAGGTGAAAAATCTGTCGATGTGCCCTTGAGCAAGGCACTTAACCCTAATTGCTCCTGTAAGTCGCTCTGGATAAGAGCGTCTGCTAAATGACTAAAAATGTAAAAAAATGTAAAATTCACCAAATTATATTTTGAAGGAGGAAACAAAGTACTTTAAGCATATGTTTTTGTTTCAGTCGCCTCCATCTCCTCTAACCGAAGCTAATTGTAGGGATTTTTTTCTATTGATAATGTCAAATTAACAGCCATACAGAAAGACTCATGTGAAGTTGAAATTACAGAGGAGGAACTTCTGGATGCAATTAAAGACTTTAAGTCTGGGAAAACTCCAGGGTTGGATGGCATACCAGTCGAGGTATACCAAACCTTTTTTGATATACTCAGAGGACCGTTATTAGCATGTTTTAACCACTCCTATGTAAATGGTAGATTATCAGACACTCAAGAAGAAGGTCTGATTTCATTATTACTGAAGCAGGATACAAGTGGGAAATATAAAGATCCAGTCCATTAAAAAAATTGGCGGCCCCTTACACTTCAGTGTTGTGATGCAAAAATTCTAGCAAAATGTATAGTGCATATAATTAAAAAGGTAATGTCAGATATTATTCATCCTAATCAGACAGGTTTTCTTACATGGACGATACATTGGAGATAATATAAGGCAAGTACTGGAAACAATAGAACACTATGGAAAATCTGGGAAACCAGGCCTGCTATTCATAGCAGACTTCGAAAAGGCATTTGATAAAGTACGACTGGAGTTTATATATAAATGCCTGGAGCATTTCAATTTTGGAGAAGCTCTTATAAAATGGGTTAAAATCATGTATAGTAACCCTGTGTAAAATAGTCAATAATATATATTTCTCAGAAAGTTTTAAACTGTCAAGAGGAGTAAAACAAGGTTGTCCACCATCGGCATATATATTTATTATTGCCATCGAGATGTTAGCTTTTAAAATCAGATCTAACAATAATATCAGGGGATTAGAAATCCAGGGCTTAAAAAAAGGTGTAATTTTACGCTGATGATTCATGTTTTCTTTTAAATCCACAACTAGAATCCCTCCACAGCCTCATAGAGGATCTAGATACATTTTCTAGCCTCTCTAGATTACAACCAAATTATGACAAATGTACTATATTACGTATTGGATCAATAAAAAATAAAAATTTTACATTACCATGTAGTTTACCAATTAAATGGTCTGATGGTGATGTGGATATACTCAGAATACATATCCCAAATGAAATAAATGATCTCAATCCAATACATTTTAATAGAAAGTTAGCAAAAATAGATAAGATCTTGTTACCATGGAAAGGTAAATACCTGTCTATTAACTCTTTAGTATTATCCCAGTTTACCTATTTGCTTATGGTCTTGCCTACGCCGAGCGAACAGTTTTTAAATTATATGAGAAAAAAATATTCCATTTTATTTGGAACGGCAAGCCAGACAAAATTAAACGGGCCTATTTATATAATGAATATGAATTCGGAGGACAGAAATGATTAAATATTAAAGCATTAGACCAATCACTAAAGGCTTCAGTCATACGTAAAATGTAAAAGTTATACTTAAATCTGAACTTGTTCTCTAGCAAATTAGTAAGATTGTCTCACCCAATGTTCAAGAATGGCCTTTTTCCCTTTATTCAGATTACAACCTCTAACTTTCAGTTATTTGAAAAGGAAATCATCTCCCAAATATCACTATTCTTAAACAAGCCATAAAAAGTTGGTTGCAACAAATATTGTGGTTAATCTCAAATATACTAATTGATAAAAAGCCAGTATTTTTTTATTTAAAAAAAGGTATAATCTTCGTAAATGATATTATCGGTAGGACTGGTGAAGTTGTCGCACATGCAGCTAATAAAAACATATGGGAATGTCTGCTCTACCCAAAATTACAACCAAATAATTGCAGCATTACCGCAAAAATGGAAGAGGAAAGTGGAAGGGGGAAAAAGTAAGGAACTTGTCTGTCGGCCTTGCATTAAAGAACATAATTGGTTAAAGGAAATTGTGATAAATAAAAAAGTATAACAGTTTCAAATAAACATACCATAAAAATTATAGACTGATCATGTCTTTGTCAGTGGGCAAATGTACAAAATCAGCAGGGGATCAAATACTTTTTTCCCTCACTGTAGGTTCTAGGTTAAGAACTTTTGTGAAAGAGCACAGTTAGAAAGATATGGCATATACAAGCAAACCGGATGGACATCATGAAAATGATCGGAGAGGTTGAGGGTAGAGGAAGTTCAGGATTAAAAACAAACAAAATATAATTATTGTAAAATTGACTGTGTCCATAAAATTTATATAGTATGTATAAGCTGGAAGTAGAGGCCTAAGCATTGTTGTTCACTAGTTTACTCCAATTAGGGAAGGGGTGGTGGGGTTGGAAAGTAATAAAGGGAAATATATTTTAAAAAATGATATGTATATGTATGTATGTATGTAATATATATATACAGCTCTGGAAAAAATTAAGACACCACTGCAAATTTTTCTTAAATCAGCATCTCTACATGTATGACAGCCATTCCATTCCAGTGTCTGTTGAATTCCAACACAGGCACACCTCATTCTACTCAATTAGGTACTGATTAGGTGATCAGCTGAACCAAATCTTATTTAACGAGGAAAAGTATAAAAACCACTGCTGTGGTCATCACTATCCTCTTGCAACAGGACCAGCTGGATGGCAAAAACAGTGCTAATAGTACCTCAAAAGTAATATTAATCAAATATTAACTATTGACCATGCCAAAAGAGTTGAAAAGGAAAGTTTTGAGTGAGGAAAAGAAGGGTTCAATTCTGTCTTTACTGGCAGAGGGATACAGTGAGCGTAAGGTTGCTTCCATCCTTAAAATTTCAAAGACGGCGGTTCATAAGAACAAGGTCAAGCAGCAGACATTGGGGAAAACAAAGCTACAGACCGGCAGAGGGCGAAAACGACTCTACTGACCGGGATGACCACCAACTCATTCGAATGTCACTCAACAACCGTAGGATGACATCAAGTGACCTACAAATAGAATGGCAAATGGCAGCTGGGGTGAAGTGCACGGCGAGGACGGTTCGAAACAGGCTCCTAAGGGCAGGGCTGAAGTCGTGCAAAGCTAGAAAAAATACCTTCACCAATGAGAAGTAAAGAAGAGCCAGGCTGAGGTTTGCAAAAGACCATAAGGATTGGACCGTAGAGGACTGGAGTAAGGTCATCTTCTCTGATGAGTCCAATTTTCAGCTTTGCCCAACACCTGGTCGTCTAATGGTTAGACGGAGACCTGGAGAGGCCTACAAGCCACAGTGTCTCGGACCCACTGTGAAATTTGGTGGAGGATCGGTGATGATCTGGGGGTGCTTCAGCAAGGCTGGAATCGGGCAGATTTGTCTTTGTGAAGGACGCATGAATCAAGCCACGTACAAGGTTGTCCTGGAAGAAAACTTGCTTCCTTTTGCTCTGACATTGTTCCCCAACTCTGAGGATTGGTTTTTCCAGCAGGACAATGCGCCATGCCACACAGCCAGGTCAATCAAGGTGTGGATGGAGGACCACCAGATCAAGACCCTGTCATGGCCAGCCCAATCTCCAGACCTGAACCCCATTGAAAACTTCTGGAATGTGATCAAGAGGAAGATGGATGGTCACAAGCCATCAAACAAAGCCGAGCTGCTTGAATTTTGTGGCATAAAGTCACCCAACATCAATGTGAAAGACTGGTGGAGAGCATGCCAAGACGCATGAAAGCTGTGATTGAAAATCAGGGTTATTCCACCAAATATTGATTTCTGAACTCTTCCTAAGTTAAAACATTAGTATTGTGTTGTTTAAGAATGAACATGAACTTATTTTCTTTGCATTATTCGAGGTCTGACAACACTGCATCTTTTTTGTTATTTTGACCAGTTGTCATTTTCTGCAAATAAATGCTCTAAATGACAATATTATTATTTGGAATTTGGGAGAAATGTTGTCAGTAGTTTATAGAATAAAACAAAAATGTTATTTTTACCCAAACACATACCTATAAATAGTAAAACCAGAGAAACTGATAATTTTTGCATGTCTGTATATGTACAGTTGAAGTCGGTTGGAGTCATTAAAACTCGTTCTTAACCACTAAGCCACTCCACAAATTTCTTGTTAACAAACTATAGTTTTGGCAAGTCGTAAACAATTGTTTACAAACAGATTATTTCACTTATATTTCACTGTATCACAATTCCAGTGGGTCAGAAGTTTACATACACTAAGTTGACTGTGCCTTTAAACAGCTTTGAAAATGATGTCATGGCTTTAGAAGTTTCTGATAGGCTAATTGACATCATTTGAGTCAATTGGAGGTGTACCTGTGGATGTATTTCAAGGCCTACCTTCAAACTCAGTGCCTCTTTGCTTGACATCATGCGAAACTCAAAAGAAATCAGCCAAGATCTCAGAAAAACAATTGTAGACCTCCACAAGTCTGGTTCATCCATGGGAGCAATTTCCATACGTCTGAAGGTACCACGTTCATCTGTACAAACAATAGTACGCAAGTATAAACACCATGGGATCACGCAGCCGTCATACTGCTCAGGAAGGAGACGCGTTCTGTCTCCTAGAGATGAACGTACTTTGGTGCGAAAAGTGCAAATCAATCCCAGAACAACAGCAAAGGACCTTGTGAAGATGCTGGAGGAAACAGGTACAAAAGTATCTATATCCACAGTAAAATGAGTCCTATATCGACATAACCTGAAAGGCCGCTCAGCAAGGAAGAAGCCACTGCTCCAAAACCACCATAAAAAAGCCAGACTACGGTTTGCAACTGCACATGGGGACAAAGATCATTATTTTTGGAGAAATGTTCTCTGGTCTGATGAAACAAAAATATAACTGTTTGGCCATAATGACCATCGTTATGTTTGGAGGAAATTGGGGCCTCTTGCAAGCCGAAGAACACCATCCCAACCGTGAAGCACGGGGGTGGCAGCATCATGCTGTGGGGGTGCTTTGCTTCGGGAGGGACTGGTGCACTTCACAAAATAGATGGCATCGTGAGGAAGGATATATTGAAGCAACATCTCAAGACATCAGTCAGGAAGTTAAAGCCTGGTCGCAAATGGGTCTTCCAAATGGACAATGACCCCAAACATACTTCCAAAGTTGTGGAAAAATGGCTTAAGGACAACAAAGTCAAGGTATTGGAGTGGCCATCACAAAGCCCTGACCTCAATCCTATAGAACATTTGTGGGCAGAACTGAAAAAGCGTGTGCGAGCAAGGAGGCCAACAAACCTGACTCAGTTACACCAGCTCTGTCAGGAGGAATGGGCCAAAATTCACCCAACTTATTGTGGGAAGCTTGTGGAAGGCTACCCGAACCGTTTGACCCAAGTTAAACAATTTAAAGACAATGCTACCAAATACTAATTGAGTGTATGTAAACTTCTGACCCACTGGGAATGTGATGAAATAAATAAAAGCTTAAATAAATAATTCTCTCTACTATTATTCTGACATTTCACATTCTTAAAATAAAAAGTGGTGATCCTAACTGACCTAAGACAGGAAATGTTTACTAGGATTAAATGTCAGGAATTGTGAAAAACTGAGTTTAAATGTATTTGGCTAAGGTGTATGTAAACTTCCGACTTCAACTATATATATATTTGCGAGAGAAAAAAACATATGGGGGATTGGAAGTGATGCAGACAATTACATTGATGGAAGTTACAATATTAAAGCTGATCTACCCCCTGAAAAAAATTACAAATATATAAAACACACACACACACAGCCTCATCCTTACCATCTGTTCTGAGGCGTGTGTGCACCCTCCAGCCTCCGGTTGCTCATCCTTCTCCTGCTCCGTGCCTCTGGCAGGAGCCGCCGTTGGTCGACCACGGTACTGGCTGCCGCCGCTGACGGGTGGGGGGCTGTTGCGGGCGGGGCTGTAGGTCTCACTCCCTCTGGATGAGGGACGGTGGCCGCGAGGGTCCACTACTGTTTTGGGCTGGGGGGAGAGAGAGAGAGCGAGAGCGAGAGAGAGACAGAAAGTGAGACAGAGAGCGAGAGAGAGAGAGAGAGAGACAGAGAGAGAGAGAGAGCGAGAAAGAGACAGAGAGAGCGCGAGAGAGCGAGAGAGCGCGAGAGAGAGAGAGCGAGAAGGAGAGAGAGAGAGAGGGAGAGAGAGAGAGAGAGAATTTATTATTTTATCACAATGTATATTGTATACATTGTTGCTTTGGCAATATTGACGCAATGTTTTTCATGCCAATAAAGCAGCTTGAATTGAATTGAGAAGATGAATGGTGTTCGCCCAGAGAGAGACACAGAGAGAGATGGGATTAAACTTTGCAGAGAGACTCAGTGTGAAAGACTAAGGAACACTATGAGGGTTAAATGAAACTCCAAATGACACACTAATGAAAGAGATCCACTTACTTCGGTCTTCACCCCCTGTGAAAGATAAACAAGATAAAAAACAAATATTGAATATGAGAATATCATTATTACAAGTGGAGGGTTCAGAGTGGAACACAGTAATCAATGATCATCAACTCCAATTTGCAGTCTTATAATACTAACAAATTGCATATTTTCTTCATACTATATAACATATAGTAAATATATAGTATTGGAGCCCCGACCAGGACTTGAACCCGGGTTCAGTGACTGGCAACCCAACATCTTAGCCGTTACGCCAAGAGATCAAAACCTCTCGACACGGTTGCTAGGTGACTGTAGATTTCCGCCTAAACAAACATCCCCAAACGTAATATTTTTTTTTTAACAATAACTGGTAATGTTGCATATATATATTTTTAAAGGTCTTAGTGCTGAGCGATTAACCGAAATGTCGGTTGTTTTTCTTTTTTTTTTTAAATAACAAATTGACCGATGTCTGTTCAATTATTTGAATTGCATTTCGTTTTTTTTTCTTCTTCTTCTTCTGTGAGCTCAATGTGCAGTTTCTGTTGGGATAAATCAGATCCAGCCTGAACTGTGCGTTGTAGTGGGGAGTTGTATTTTCCAACAGAGGGCTGTGATAGAGAGGGATAGAAAGACGTTGCTTGCCAGCCTGAAAATACATGATCTAAGTGATTGATAGTTGGTTTTCAGCAGTCATACAAGTATGCCTTATTTACTTTGAAGAACTACTAAAATAGTGATTTAGTCAGGCAGCAGCTCCATAGAGATGAGATGATGACTTGAAATAATAAAGTCATCAAATTAAACAAATATTTTATTAAAGTAATAATTGATGGTTAATAAGTGATAAGCAGTAATGGGCAGTCACTAGCATCATGGGACTTGTATTCATTGTTTTATTCAGTGTTCTTACTGCATTCAACCCACATAGGGCGGCAAGTAGCTTTGTGGGTAAGAGCGTTGTGCCAGTAACCGAAAGGTCGCTGGTTCTAATCCCCGAGCCGACTAGTTGAAAAAATCTGTTGATGTGCCCTTGAGCAAGGCACTTAACCCTAATTGCTCCTGTAAGTCGCTCTGGATAAGAGCGTCTGCTAAATGACCCATTTATAATGCAAAGTGCATTTAATGTCTAAAGAAATTATCAAAATCGAAAACTGTATTTATTATATCTAACCGAAACCGAACCGACCTCAAAAAGCACTAATCGCTCAGCACTAGGGTCTGTAACCTTCTGTTAGAAATTGCTGAGGTCACCTTTGAGAACGCAAGCTCAAGTACATAATACAAATGTTATAAAAAATCATATATACTTTTTTTTTTTTCCTATTCAACAAAAGTGGGGGAATAAGGCTTGAAATGACTGCACTGCTTTCTAAATATAGTAACAATCAAATTATAAACTGTAAAATAAATCTGAATGTTCTCCTAAACATCCACTGAGCGGCGCAGAGACACTATTAACAATGTGCACAGACCCGTTAACAATTTCAGCCTTAAGCATGAAGTGATTTTTGTCCGTCTGTGACCAAGAGAAACTGGTCTTCTTTAAATTCTATGAAATTATTTAGAATTTATTCATGTTGAGAACTCTAAATCCAGCTGAGAAAACACAAGGGCTGGACCAGCTAGACTGCCATCTTTCATTTGCCGTCTCCCAAACTGGGCTCACTCGCTCAGAGGGAGAGATCATCTAATGGTTGTTTAGCAACAAAACCAACGTGTGCGCAACTATGGGACGAAACAGACGGGGTTGGCTTAGAGTTTTTACAGCATGTAAACTATATATTTCGCCTCCAATGTTTATTCGAAAACATAAATCAAGTTGCAGAATGAGCATTTGTCTCTCAAATACATCGTTACAGTTGTTGGCTAGCTATCTAGTGAATTTGAGCCATATTAGACCTGATATCACTCAAATTACCTCAAAACAAGACACGGTATCAAGAACAAAATAAAAACTAGCTGAAACGAGCCACCTACGATTGCCCACATGGGGGGGGGGCTACCTGGCAATCCAGAATCATAAGAAAACACGGCCTGCCCCTTTGAAGAGCGCGCATCGTTTTCGTGACACTGTCTATAGGCCAGAAAATGTGACACGTCACTCCATATGCAATCATGGGGTCTGAAACCTGACACTTCAAGTCAGCTCCGCTGAGAGAGTGGAAACAGATTCCAAACAAACGGGTTTTCTGGCAATACTACGGCGTTCACAGAGCACACCAAAATGTCAGTCGGAACCGGTTCAGAACCGCTCAAAGTACCCCATAACGTCTAAGCGTTAAAGGCCCATTACAGTCAAAAACAAGATTTTCCTGAGTTTTATATATATACAGTTTATAGTATATACAATACCAGGTCATATTCGTCGTAGTCGTCTTGACAACGGACAGCGTAGACACACAGGCAGAGCAGCAGTAGCCACTTCATGTTGGCGTTAGATGGTGGTGTCTCAATAAAGTTTCTGCCTTTGAAGGTGAACTGATTTCAGTGGAGTTACCATTCCTTATTTTATACCTGTCCCAAGCCACCGCCCCTCTTCTCTATAGATATAGAGAGAGCGAGAGAGAGAATAGAGAGCGACGAATAATCTCTGTATCTATATAGCTATGTATCTATCTATATCTCTAATATAGCATCTGTCTCTATGGTAGATCTCGATATATCTATCTAGACATATGAAGATCATCTAGATCTATATATATAGAGATATATAGTCAGAGACGTCGAGATATATACTAGACTACTAGATACTTAGAATCTACTCTCATATCTATATCTCCATTATATCTCTCTATAGTCTCTCTCTCTCTCTCTCTCTTCTCTCTATCTCTCCTCACTCCTGTCTGTCTCTCTCTCTCTCTTCTCTTGTCTCTCTCTCTCTGTCTCTCTCTCTCTGTCTTCTCTCTCTCTGTCTCTCAATTCAATTTCAATTCAATTCAATGTAAGTGCTTTATTGGCATGGGAAATGTATGTTAACTTTGCCAAACAAGTGAAGTAGATAGTAAACAAAAGTGAAATAAACAATAAATATTAACAGTAAACATTACACTCAGAAGTTCCAAAATAATAAAGACATTTCAAATGTCATATTATGTATATATACAGTGTTGTAACAATGTGCAAATAGTTAAAGTACAAATGGGAAAATAAATCAACATAAATATGGGTTGTATTTACAATGGTGTTTGTTCTTCACTGGTTGCCCTTTTCTTGTGGCAACAGGTCACAAACATTGCAGCTGTGATGGCACACTGTGGTTTTTCACCCAGTAGATAAGGGAGTTTATCAAAATTGTGTTTGTTTTTGAATTCTCTGTGGGTCTGTGTAATCTGAGGGAAATATGTGTCTCTTATATGGTCATACATTTGGCAGGAGGTTAGGAAGTGCAGCTCAGTTTCCACCTCATTTTGTGGGCAGTGTGCACATAGCCTGTCTTCTCTTGAGAGCCAGGTCTGCCTACGGCGGCCTTTCTCAATAGCAAGGCTATGCTCACTGAGTCTGTACATAGTCAAAGCTTTCCTTAAGTTTGGGTCAGTCACAGTCTCTCTCTCTCTCCCTCTAACCACAGATTTAGGAGTGTACCCTCGCTTAACTATTATGGAGGTTGAATGTAAACCTAACCTTAAATCAGGGTCTAGAAATGTGTCCCGAATGTCCCGGAGCAGAACTTTAGAATGACACCCTATGGGCTCCAAGCTGATGGAGAACTTTAGAATGACACCCTATGGGCTCCAAGCTGATGGAGAACTTTAGAATGACACCCTATGGGCTCCAAGCTGATGGAGAACTTTAGAATGACACCCTATGGGCTCCAAGCCGAAGCAGAACTTTAGAATGACACCCTATGGGCTCCAAGCTGAAGCAGAACTTTAGAATGACACCCTACGGGCTCCAAGCTGATGCAAAACTTTAGAATGATGATAAAGTAGGTTACGGACAAGCAGATAAGTTTGTGTTGATATGTCTCATAGTCAGCATGCATACACATTGCATAACATGTAAACATCTGTCTCATTCTCTATCGGCAAGCTTCATCATCATCATCATCATCATCATTTCCTGATAGCTGAGTTAGTAGTGAGTTACCCACTTGACAGAACATGTTGTTTGTTTGATCATGGTATTTACCTAGATGAGGTCATACCTCCACCCACTGAAAACCAAACACACACTCTGGACTGCTGGATCGATGGAGGACATTCAGCCTGAGCCTGGGGTCTATTCATTAGGAACCAAACGGAAGCTATTTGTCTAATAAGAAACTCAGTTGAGAAGCGTTTTGTTATGGATTTCTACGGTGTGCACCAATGAATACCCCCCTTGGACTGACCACAAATGAATACACCCCTAGACTGACCACTAATGAATACCCCCCTTGGACTGACCACAAATGAATACACCCCTAGACTGACCACTAATGAATACCCCCCTGGACTGACCACAAATGAATACACCCCTGGACTGACCACTAATGAATACACCCCTGGACTGCCCATGTAGAGTTGGCTCATACTCTTTCTGTATGCAAGAAGGAACCCTGTTTTTTGGACTTGTGTTGTAAGACTGCAATTGGATTTGGTCAAAGCTGTCATTCTGTCAATAAAATGTCATCAAAGTAATATGTGAGTAAGCAGGTATTACAACAACAACCATTATGCAACTTCATAAATCATTCATAGAACATTGTGTTTTCCTTTATCCAAGAGTTCTGTTAGAGATTTTTAGATTTGATAGGGAAGCTGAGAGGTCAAATATACTGTTTAGGTTTTCTACTGCCAAGTTTACACCTTCACTATTACAGTGGAACGTTTTGTCCAGGAAGTTGTCTAAAAGGGATTGAATGTGTTGTTTCCTAATTGTTTTTTGGTAGGTTTCAACACTACTTTCCTTCCATCTATAGCATTTCTTAATATTATTCAGTTCCTTTGGCTTTGATGCCTCATGATTGAGTATTGCTTCTCTCTCTCTCTCTGTCTCTGTCTCTGTCTCTGTCTCTGTCTCTGTCTCTGTCTCTGTCTCTCTCTCTCTCTCTCTCTCTCTCTCTCTCTCTCTCTCTCTCTCTCTCTCTCTCTCTCTCTCTCTCTCTCTCTCTCTCTCTCTCTCTCTCTCTCTCTCTCTCTCTCGTCGGAGTGCATGTTGGGAGTGAGTCGTGAAGCAGAAGTGATTGTGAGAGCGACTGGAATTCTTTTCACTCTGTTGGGTTTGGGTGCGTGTATATATATATATTGATTAGTTTAGTTGTTTTAAGGTTATCTTGTCTAACTATCGACTGTGGTGTGTAGTCATAAAAACTCAAAAAGTGGGGGTGTGGCCATCTTGTTCTCAAAAGGGTTTTACCTTTGTCATATGAGGTTGAAGAGGTAGTTGAGGGGAGGTTATTAAAAGTTAAAGAGCGAGGTATGAAAACATCACTATGTGTCTGATAAATGTATATGCCCCAGTGGTGGCAGTTGAGAGGGTATGTTTTTTTAGAGACATTATCAAATACCATTGAGAAATGTAACACTGAAGATTATTTATTTATTGCTGGGGATTTTAACTGCACAATCAGAGATTTAGATAGAAATCACAAAGAACCTCATATAGCCTCAAGGACTTTTTAAAAAAAGCCTCATTGTAACACATGAACTGTTTGATATTTGGCGGAGTCAACATGGAGGCACGAGACAGTACACTTGGGCGCATGTGAGAGAGAACACCATGTCTATGGTCAGGTTAGATAGGTTTTATTGTTTTGAGCATCAATCTCAGCTCTGTAAATCAAGTGTGATAACCTCAGTGGGATATTCTGATCATTGTTTAATAGAGGTGGTGTTCATTAACGCTGTAAAACCCAAAAGCGCATACTGGCATTTTAATATAACTTTATTGAGTGATGCTCACTTCAGGAAATGTTAAAGTTTTTTCTGGGAGAGGTGGAGGTCTCAAAAGGCCAGTTTTGTATCCCTTCAACAGTGGTGGGATATAGGGAAAATCCAGATTCAACAATTCTGTAATCAATACACGAGGAATGTCACTAAAGACATCACCAGTTCAATGAAAGCCCTAGAGACTGAAATAGTGGAACTCATGACGTTGGTTGAGACCACAGGAGATCGAAGCCATACTCAGGCCCTCATGAGGAAAAAATCTGCATTGGCAGACCTGCTGGGTATCAGAGCACAGGGGGCATTGGTGAGAAGTACGTTTCAGGGAATCTCTAAAATGGATGCCTCATCCAAATTCTTCTTTGGTTTAGAGAAAAAGAATGGACAAAGAATAATTATTCATTGCCTCAAATCAGCTGTTGGACAGGAGCTCACTAGCCCTAGTGAAATTAGAAAGAGGGCAGTAGAGTTCTATGCTGAGCTCTACAAGTGTGAGTACAAAGAGGATAAAACAGTGACACAGCAGTTCCTTGATGGGCTCCCACAGGTGGCTGCAGAAGATCAGGTTGAGCTAGAGCAACCATTGTCTTTGCAGGAGCTACAGTGGGGGAAAAAAGTATTTAGTCAGCCACCCATTGTGCAAGTTCTCCCACTTAAAAAGATGAGAGAGGCCTGTAATTTTCATCATAGGTACACGTCAACTATGACAGACAAATTGAGATTTTTTTTCTCCAGAAAATCACATTGTAGGATTTTTAATGAATTTATTTGCAAATTATGGTGGAAAATAAGTATTTGGTCACCTACAAACAAGCAAGATTTCTGGCTCTCACAGACCTGTAACTTCTTCTTTAAGAGGCTCCTCTGTCCTCCACTCCACAAATTACAGGCCTCTCTCATCTTTTTAAGTGGGAGAACTTGCACACTTGGTGGCTGACTAAATACTTTTTTTCCCCACTGTACCTGCTTTTTTGTATTTGTATTTATTTTTATGTTTTAATTTTTATTTAGGAATTACATTTGTTGTTTCATTTCTGAAAAGGCGTGCCATTCGTTGTGTTAAAACTTGAGTATAAAATAAAGGTTTCATAAAAACTCATATCTATCTCTCTCTCTCTCTCTCTCTATTCACCAAGACTGAGACAGAGTCATATATTATTTTTCTTCTCCTTTATAAGACAAATAAACAAACAAACAAGGTAAAACTGTTGTTTGGTTTTATTGGACCAGGGGCCTGTTGCACAAAACTAGGATAAGGGATTAAGCCAGGATATCTTGGTGATCCTGGCTCAATTGATCCGTAATCCGGTTGCACTAAAGATGGATAGGGGGCAGGAGGATATGTTATGGTATAAATACCATGGAGATGTATCTGTGGAGCTAGCCTGCCTCCAGACCAGGACTAAATTCCAGGATCTATTTAATCTCATCCCTACTGTCAGTCAGCAGTCACCACAATGGGAAACAATAGTTTATTTCACTGCTCACTATACATTGTTATCACATATAACTAGACCCACTGTCATTTTTAAAACGTTTTTTGATCTTTAAATTTTCCCAATGTTTTTGGATAAAAATGATTTTAGGAGTTGGATATCATTAGTTT